CCTCCCCCAGTCATCCCCCGCCTTTGCTTCGCCGCGTCCTGGCGGGGAGAAGGCCCGGATTGTGCGGGCACGCGCCGCGCACACGGGCGTGAGGCACCACTGTGGCGGGGCGCGCCGCGTTCCCTTTCTCTGCCCGCATCTCCTCGCGCCCCCAAGGGGGGGGAACTGCTCCCCCCGAGCTTTTGGACGCCCGACATGCGTACGGAAAGAATGGGCACAATGCCCCACAGCAGTTCCTGGTCATTCTGAACAGGACTCGCTGTCGGTGTCGCCGCGGCTTGTGTCCATTTGAGACCGAAGGCCGCCTGCCCAACAGCGGCCGCTGTTGCTTTGGGACAACGTTTGTTGGTGGGCAGTGTGCCAATTGTTTCCGTGCCCATTTCGGGTGTCCAAAGAGTTTGCCTCGCCGCGTCCTGGCAGGAACAGGCCAGCATTGAAAGCAGCGGCGCGCCGCGCTCCACCCCTCTGCCCTGCCGCGCCTCAGCACTAGCGGAACCAGCGGTGCAGGGGCGGGGCGGGGCGGAGGGGGGCGGCGTGGGGGGGGGGGGGGGCGCTGCGCCCCGCCTCCTGCCTGCGTCGCCGCGATCCACCAGGACTTGGCCAGCATCGCAAGGGGGGTGGATGGTGGGGGCGCGTGCCACCCCCCGCGCCGCGCCGCGCGTCAACATGGGCAAGGGTGAATTCGACATGTCCCCCCTGTCGGCCGCGGAGCAGAGGTGAACCCTTAGCGATGGCAGAGTTGGTTTCCCGGTTCACATGTGTACTTGTTTTGCGATGGCGCGTGCATAGTTTTTCGCGCGCTCCGTGGCGCAGGATTGCTAACAGTAGGAAGGTCGCCATAGTCGTTTTAAACCAAAAGTAGAACTTCGGCGGTGACCAATTGGATCTCCACATGAAAGGGGTCTGGCGTATTTTCTCGACGATGGACAAGACAGCAGTGTCCACGTTCGCGCGTGGAGAGTTCTGCATTGTCCGCAAGAGGACAGCCACCATGGATATCCGACAACACAAGCGAACCATTAGTAGTGACTGATTGCATGTCCAATCTCACATGGGTATTGGAGTACGTTGCCTGCGACGAAGAAGACAGATCCTCATCCGCGCGACGGGGTTGCTTTGTCCACACTCAAGAAACATAGTTTCGGCGTGGAAAGTTAATTAGGCCCCTAGCGGTGACCGATTGGGTTTCCAAGTGAACGTGGGTTCTGGTGTTCGCGCATGGGGAGGTCTGTACTATTCACATTCGAAAAATTGCGGTGTTGGCCTGGGAACCAACGTGTACCTTTATTTCCAAATTATTAAGTGTTTCCGCATGTCGATCATGCGGTGCAGCACGACGCGCGTATGCGCGTGCGGCTGGACAGTTCCGTCGTGCTCACATCTGAAAGGTCGCCATGTTGGTCTGGATATATTTTGGCGGTCAACGATCGGAGCTCCAAAGCAGCATGCGTTTTCACATGTCAACCGGCCAATGCAGCGCAGGACGCGTGCACGTAGAGAGGTATGTCGTGTACACATTCAGAGAAAAGTAGCGATGTTCCAATGCGATCCGAACTCCAATGTGTTATGCGTTTTTACCCGTCAGCTCTGTGGTGCAGAGTACGACGCGCGCGCGTGTGGCGAGTTCTGTAGTGTTCATTAAAATGGTCATATTGGTTTGGAAGCGAACGTGGGCGATCACCGCTCACGGTGAGCGGTGATCGATTTGTTTCCCAAGCTTGCACTTGTTTTTCTCATGTCGGCCAGGCGGCGCACCAATTGCTGAGCGCACGTGGCAAGTTATGTAGTGCCCAAATTAGGGAAATCGCCATGTTGGCAGGAGAAAAAGAAAACGGTGAAGGGCACAGTGGGGGAGGCGGGAGGAAGGCGGCGGGGAGGTGGAGGATGAGGGAGGGAGGACATGTGCAGGACGAACCAGCGGCGGCCACGTCGTCGTCGTCGTTGTCGTCGCCGTCGTCGTCGTCGTCGTCGCCATGGTTGTCCACACGGACAACGGCGACCACGACGACGACCACGGCGACGACGACGATGACGACGTCGACGAGGGCACCGCAGCCGCGGTTTCTTACCGAAACAATGTGATCAATGATCGCTGCCGTCGCGGAGCTTTGGGATCTTTCGGAGACAGTGTGGTGGGAGGCAGGAGGAGGGAGGCGGGAGGGTCGGCCTTCGGCCCGCGGCGATGACTATGCTGAGTGGTCTGCCCACGACGCCCCCCTGCCGGGAGGCGCTTGGGGCGGCCTGGGGTCGCACCCCCGCCGCTCCAGATTGTCAGCGTTCGGGCTTCCCCTGGCCGCCCAGACGGCCCGGGGGCCCACCCGAATTGCATGCCTTCCGTGGGCCGCGCACATCGGGTCGTTGAAATGGCGAAACTACTTGTTCGCCCATCACCCCCAAGTTCTTATCTTCATCGTTTGCCAACACTGTCTGTTGTAAGCTCGAAAACGGATGTGCACGTCATTGCGGCCAGAGCCACATTTTGAACACCCCTTCCATTCGTAGAATTGTTGCTATGAAGAGCAGGGGTTGACGATGAGAAGAGGAGGAGGAGGAGGAGGAGGAGGAGGAAGGATAGATGGATGGACGGATGGATCGACGGATGGATGGATGGATGGATGGATGAATGGATGGATGGATGGATGGATTGATGGATGGATGGAGGAGGATGAAGGAGGATGTTGTTTAGAATGCCCATGAGGCGCAGAAGGCGTTTTCCAACCCGTACACGATTTCAGCAGGCCCGCGGGATTCCCCCTTTTCAGGAGCGACCCTGGCTGCGGACCCGTGTGCAGACACAGCCAGGCGATTCATGCAGAGACAGGCCTGCACCGAAACCAGCCGCGAAGCGGTGCGAATGCATTCGAAGACGTCGACGCCATGATCTAGGTCGCAGAACGTACATGCAAACATTCATGCACGTGGCGGTCGTTGTTCTACTCGTGGTTTTGTCGATCGAAGCGGGCCCCCTAACCTGTCTCGAGCGAGTGCCGTCCCCCCCAGAGGCAGCACTCCTGCAGACAGTCGCACTATAAGCAGACTGTCTGGAGCCAGACGCCCCCCGTCCCCCCCTCTTTCCGCTTAGTGTCGAAACGCCGCCTGAAAAAAAACGCTCACGTGATGATCGACAAACAAGTGGATGGCTTCGTCATCACACGCGTCCGTGGAGCGGTGCAACAACTCTATCCGGAGGCACCGAAACACGGCACAGCTACTTGGAGTCATGCGTGTGTTCCCCCGTTGCGTCAAGGGACCACGTCTTGTAGCATAGCGCTGCAGGGCATTCAGGGATGCCGAGGTCGCACCGCAACTGCTTGAATCAAGCGCCCTCCCCCGTTGCGCGGAGGATTAGAAGGGTGTCCCACACATGAGCATGTCGCAACAGGACTGGAATAATCCCCCATTGCGCAGAAGACGAGAGGTGCGTCCAACTGACAGGATGTGTGGACCATGTGACACAACACAACACCTATCCTCACAGTGTGTGTGTGTGTGTGTGTCCCCATTGCGCTGAAGACTGGGGGTGTGACCAGCAGAGTGTGTGATTCGAAGCGCTCCCCCGTTGCGCTGAGGACGTGGGGTGTGCTCCATGCAACATTTTGCCTGCCGCATAGAGGCCGAATTTCTTCGTGGATACCGACGTCACCGCATAGGTCGCAACAAAAATTGCATACAACCGCAAACGCATCACAAACTCTGAGTATCCCATTGCGCTGGGGCCACGGGCGTTGCCAGAATTGAAACCTAAACGACTGGTGGGAGAAGATGGATGGAGGAGGAGGAGGAGCAGGAGGAGGAGGAGGAGGTGGAGGAGGAGAGGGACCAGATGGACAAGAGTCAACCCAAGATTCACTAGCGATGTTGGAATAATCCCTCCCTTCAAGCGCTCCTTTTCATAGGCCCCTAAACGGATCCATCTCCATTGCAGGAAGTGCCCCGTTGGGAGACAACCGTTTTAAGATCCCGAAGCGTGCCAAACCACCATTCTCGGGATTCCAGCGCCAACCTGACTGTTGCGTCTTGACGATCTTGAATCGTTCCAGCACGCCATCCCCAGGAGTCCGACACCGCGACTCAACGTATTTGCTGCGCCCTGACAATCCTGAATTGTCCCCAAATTCCATTTCTAGTATGTTACCCATGGGAAAACGTGACATGGTGGCTAATCTTGAAAACGAATGTGCGCGGCGCTAAGGACAGAGAAGTTCTTGCAGTGTTTTAAAATGATGTTGCGCGGCGCTAAGGAGAGAGCCACATGTTGCAAGCCACCCGCTCTCATTCCGTGAAGCTCTTACACATTTTTTAAGAACCAATGTGCGTGGCGTTTTGTCGAGAGCCACCTGTTGAAAGCACCCCGCCCCCAACCTGTGAAACTTTTGCAATTGTTTAAACAAATGTGCGCGGAGCTGGGGCGAGAGCCATATTTAAAAAACGGCCCGGCCTCATCCGTGAAAGTTCTCCAACATCTTACGAAGAGTGCGCGCGGCGCTACGGCGAGAGCCACATTTTTCAAGCTGTCCGCCCTCCATCTGCGAAATTCTTGCCAACTGAAGCATCAGGATCATACATTTGAAGGGGGCCTCAGTCGAAACGCCTGTCCCGCGCTTCCGATTGGCCTCGGGGTGCGACGGGGAGGAGTTGTTCACCAGGAGCAATGAGGGGGGAGGAGGGGGGGAGGAGGAGGAGGAGGAGGAGGAGGAGGAGGAGGAGGAGGAGGAGGAGGAGAAGGAGGAGGAAGGAAGGGAGGGCAAAGAGAGGAAGGGAGCAGGACGAGGAGGAGGAGGAGTAGGAGGAGGAGGAGGAGGAGGAGGAGGAGGAGGAGGGGAGGAGGAGGAGGAGGAGGGGGGGGAGGAGGGGGGAGGGAGGGGAGGAGAGGAGGAGGAGGAGGAGGCAGGGGAGGAGGAGGAGGGGGCGGGAGGAGGGCAACGGGAGGAGGGAGGAGGAGCGGGCGAGGGCGCAGGAGCGGAGGCGGGGTGGCCGGCGGCGGCCCCCACGGCGGCCAGGTGAACCCCGCGCTGCGGCTGGCGGGGGACGGCGCAGGGCCCGCGGGGCTGAGCTCCCTAGGCCCCCCTGCGCGCGGGAGGGGGAGGAGGAGGGGGAGGGGGAGGAGGGGAGGAGGGGAGGGGGAGGGGAGGGGGAGGGAGGAGGAGGGGAGGAGGAGGGAGGAGGAGGAGGAGGAGGAGGAGGAGGAGGAGAGAGGAGAGGAGGAGGAGGCGGAGGGGGAGGGGGAGGAGGAAGAAAATTTATTTCTCCTCCTCCTCCTCCTCCTCCTCCTCCTCCTCCTCTTTTCCCTTTTCCTCATTCAACTCTGGCTGTCAGCAAGCCCTCCCTCACAGGCTCCCACCTCCTCGCGCTGCGGAGAGAGCACGGCGCTTTTTTCCTCGCTTAAAAAAATAAAACACGATTCGGGACGAGAAGCCGGTGTCCTGGCAAGATTCCAGATTCCGGGGGGTCCACGTTGTGAGAAAAAGTGCCGGCGTCGGAGATTTTTGGGCGAGTAGGTGGGGTAATGGAATGGACACCTCGAGCGGTCAAGGCAACACAAGCCAGCATGGGACCCGAAGGGTCCAGGAAGGAGCCAGGGGGGAAGGGCAGCATCCAAGGGTCCATGCCAACCTGTGCTGTCTCAGCTGCTGAAGCGGTTCTCAAGACCAGCAGCTTCCAAGCACGGATGCGCCCGTATCCCCCCGAGCTCCTCCATCTTGTTGCATTATATCGATGGGCACCCCCAGCGGATCAGCAGCAGCAACAGCGCTTTCAGCAACAGCGCCTGCAGGAGAGCGCCATCAGGTGTCGGCGGCAGCGGGGGCGCCATGCATGGCACTGGCGGGGCGGGTTGAGCAAGCACGCTTTGATCAGCGCGCTCTCGAGGATGAGCTTCCCTGGAATCACCTTCAAGATGGGGGGCACGACCGAGGTCGTCAGGGGCAGCCTTGCCCGATGAACTGGATAGGTAGCAGCAGCCGCAGCTCTGAACGAACTTGACCTAGGACTAGCGCCTCGATCAGCTTGCCCAGAGTGATGACTAGCAGCCGCCGACGAACCGAAAACGGCATAAGTACAAACTGTCGACGGTCCGCGCGGATCTCTCGGATCTGCGCTGCCCCCCCCCTCCCTGGCGGGCGCGCCAGGGGGCGGCGCTGGGCGCCTCCGGAGGCGCGGAGGCGCGCGGAGCGTCGAAAGTTTATGCTTTTGTTCAGTTGTTTCTTTCTCCAGGCTGGCCGGAGCTCGAAACAGCGATGCAAGCCACTCCGCGGTGCGCCTACTGCTGCGGTGGCGGTGCTCGCGTCGTCGACGCGCAGCGGGGCCCGCACCAGCAGGGACGTCAGACATGGCACCGGCGGAGGGCGCGATGAGCGGCCAGCTCTGGAGGGAGAGGGGGAGGGAGGGGGCCACCTCTTTCCTCTCCCTCCTCTTCCTCCACCTCGTCAGGGCGAGGAATAGTGACTAGTGGGAGTAGGAGGAGAAAGGGGAGGAGGAGGAGAAGGAGGAGGAGGAGGAGGGGGAGGAGCAGCAGGAGGAGGGGGAGGACGAGAAGGAGGAGGAGGAGGAGGAGGAGGAGGAGGAGGAGGGACGAGGAGGAGGAGGAGGAGGACGAGCAGGAGGAGGAGGAGGAGGAGGAGGAGGAGGAGGACGAGGACGAGGACGAGGAGGATGAGGAGGAGGAGCAGGAGCAGGAACAAGAGCAGGAGCAGGAGGCGGAGCAGGAGCAGGAGCAGGAGCAGGAGCAGGAGCAGACGCAGGAGGAAAGCAGGAGGAGGACATGAGGACAGGAGGAGGAGGCGGAGGCGGCAAAGGAGGACCATATCGCCTCGTGTTACGTGCCTGGAGGAGGCGGGCCAGAGCAAGCCCAGCATGTACCAATGACGCTGCCACACACCATCTCGTCTCAAGTCCCATCACCCGTTCCCGCAAGCATTGGTGTTGTTCGCTGCCGGAAGCGCCCCCGCTGAAGGGCGAGGGCCCCGCGGGCCCGCTGTTCGGGCGGGGCCCCGCGTCGAGGAAGACGCACGCCCCACCTCTCGAGCTGCAGGAACGCGGCAAGGCAGGACTTTCAAGTTCAGTTCTGGCACCCGTGCCGCTGGGTGCCCTCGTGGCGTCCCAGACCGACAGTCAGAGCCTGAATCATCAGGGGTAACTCGGGTCAGGGATAACTCGGGTTCGTGTTTCGGGAATCCAAACCCGAGTTACCCCGGACCCGAGTTACCCTGGATAACTCGGGCGTCCAGAGCCCCGAAATCATCAGGGGTAACTCGGGTCAGGGCGAACTCGGGTTCCTTTCTAGGGAATCCAAACCCGAGTTACCCCGGACCCGAGTTACCCCAGATAACTCGGGCGCCCAAGACAGGCGGCTTGGCAGCCCGATCGTCACCACAGCCCGACGGGGAAGCTGGAAACCCTGTGGCTTGCCAGTCACAGCAGGTGCGGGCCCGCCGTGCCACCCCTGAGAGGCCCGATGGGGTTTCTCGAAGGGGTCCCCCGACGGGGGGGGGCGGTTAAACTGAAGTCTTCGGGCAGTGGGGTCTCCGCTGTTTGAGGGCTGCGGCCAAGTGGGGGTGGTGCTGGTAGTCGTGTATCGGGGTGGCATCTCGAAGCACCTCGCAACAGCGGCGCAAATGTGACGCCTGGGGGCGTCTGTGCTGCCATTCATGTTGCGAGGTCCGACTGCGTGCGAATTATGCAGGCACCTTGGGCACGTCCTTTTTCGGGTTGTGTCGCCCATGCGTTTTGCCCGGGCACCAGTGGCAGCGCCCGCACATGCGCGCGCATGGCACCGCCGCATCCATGTCAGCACATTATTCACTTTTTTCGTGGCCCAACATGGGGTTTCCGACGATGGCCCCAGTGGCAGTGCCCAAACGGCACCGCCGCGCACGTTTCCGCACATCCCTCACACGTTCCGTTGCCCCACAAAGAGCTCCACCGAAGATTCCAGTGGCAGCGCCCGCATGGCACCGCCGGACTCAGTCCGGCACAACCATCACACGATTCGTGGCCCTTTCGGGAGCTCCACCAAAGGCCCCGATGAAGGTGTCATTGGCAGCGCCCGCATGGCACCGCCACGCCTATTTCGGCACACCCCCGGCACACTTCGTGGCCCCATCGGGGGCTCTGACGAGGGCCCCTGAGGCAGCGCCCACATTTCACCGCCGCACCCATGTCAGCACACCCTTCACACTTTTCGTAGCCACATATGGGGTCTCCGACGATGGCCCCAGCTGCAGCGCCCACATGGCAGCGCCGCGCCCATTTCGGCACACCCCTCTCACGCTTCGTGGCCCCATAGGGAGCTCCACAGAAGGCCCCAGTGGCAGCGCCCGCACAGCACCGCCGCACCCATTCCGGCACAACCATTACACGATTCGTGGCCCCGTAGGGAGCTTCACCAAAGGCCCCAGTGGCAGCTCCCGCATGGCACCTCTGCGTCCATTTCGGCACACCCCTCACACGCTTCGTGGCCTCACAGGGAGCTTCACATAAGGCCCTAGCGGCAGCGCCCGCGCACCACCGCCGCACCCATTTCGGCACAACCTTCACACGCTTCGTGGCCCCTCAGGGAGCTTCACCAAAGGCCCCAGTGGCAGCCCCCGCATGGCACCGCCGCACCCATTTCGGCATAACCCTCACACTCTTCGTGGTCCCATAGGGAGCTCCACAGAAGAGTAGATTCACAACTGCGGCCGTCACAACTGTATATGATTGGGCCCTTCGATCGCGCGGAGCGCGCCAGGGGCGGCGCCAGAGGCGCCGCCGGGGGGGCCCCAGCGCCGATCCGAGAAATCCGCGCGGACCTCCGAGTTTTTATGTTTATGTCACTTTGTGTTCCCCTATTGTCGTCCACGTCGCATGATGCGTGGCAGGCGTGAGGCGGAGCGCACATCTCACGCGAAGGGGTGGAATGCCGTTTTCGCCACGGCGCCGCACCCATGTCTGGGGGGCGTTGGGTTCCCGCCTGGGCGCGGCGCGCACCGCTCGCGCGCCAAATCGTCAGCGGACGCGCTGGCGAAAATCCCGGTCTCGTTTTGAGCGCCGCGCAGATTGGTCTTTTGAAAGTGGCGCTCCAGCTTCGGCGCGGCGCACATTTGTTCGGCGTCACCCCAACAGAGTACTGTGTGTGCGTCGCCCCCCCCCCCCCCCGGGGCGACGCGCGCACCGAGAAGTCTTATAGCATATGCGTCGTGTCGGGCGCGTTCTGGCCATACCGCTCGGGCAACGATCTACTACAATATGGATGTACTACATGTTCGGATCGGACACGCGCTTCCAAGAAGGACATATAGTATTAGTGTGTTTCTGAGCGTCCCATTTGTCGCCCGTCAAGACTGGGGGGGCCAGCGCGAGCGAGCGCCGCGTCGTTTGGCCTGAGCCGATTTCGCGTGCACGCGTCGATGGGAAGTGGCCTTCCCGCGGATGTTTCATGGCGGATGTTTCATGGCGCCAGCATCGCAGAGCCGATTTCGTTCGGAAAACGATAGGATGGGCCAAGAGTGCCTTGGACAATGTCGTTCTGGATTTCGATGGAATGTCGTGCGGATTTTTTTTTGGCGCCCGGCATGAAAACTCAAAATAATTCACGCGAAATTCATTGCGTGTTTCACTCGCCGCTTCGGGTTTTACATCGACAGAAATCCACGCAAAAAATCGCTGCACTACGTCTGCAAGGTCGGTGCAGTGACATCAACATTCATGGGCGGCCTAACCGACCCCTAGCAAACCATCCCCTTCCGTGACGTCCCCCTCGCCTCGACCCAAGACGTACGTATGCGGCCGCAGGGGAGCCCAAAAGGCGAGGATGACGTCACGGAAGGGGATGGTCTGCTAGGGGTCGGTTAGGCCGCGTCCGAAGCATAGTAATTCTTCTGAGGTCCGCGCGGATTTGTTGGATCTGCGCCTGGGCACGCTTGGCGGCGCCTCCGGCGCCGCGCGCCAGGGAGGGGGGTCCAGCGCCGAGCCAAGAAATCCTCGCGGACGCCCAAGCGCCGCGCAGCTTGCGCGCGAGAGCGGCAGTGCTGTGCCGGCGCGGCGCACGCTTGCTCTTCGCCGCGCTTGCTCTTCGCCGCGCTCATCGAAGTGTTGCTGCTCCCCCGCCCTTGCGCGGCCCGCGTCGTTTTTTCTTCCGCCAAGACTCAGGAGGGAAAAATACACACAGACACAAGTAATCGTCGATCCCCCAGAAAATATAGGAAAAGATGGGAAGTGGGGGGGGGAAGACACAAACCCAGAAAATATGAGAAAAAATATGGGGAATCTTTTTATTGGTGTGTACTTCTTTGTGTGTCTTGGGGCCCCTGCAAAGACGTCGGCAGCGGGCCCGCGCGCGAACGCCTGCCGTTCGCTGGGCGGCAGCGCGGTCCCATCCGATACCGAGCTCAGAGTGTGGAGGCAGGGCGGGAGTGGGCGGGGGCCCTCTGGCTGGCCCGAGTCGGCCAACTTGCCCACCCCCCCCTTATTGAAGGGGCCCCAGGGCACAGGAAGAAGGACACGAAGAAGAGGATTCCCCCTATTTTCCGGGTTTTCGTCTTCCCCCCTCACTTCCCATATTTTCCTACATATTCTTGGGAATCGACGATGAATCGTGTCTGTGTGTTTTTGTTCCCCTCCTGACCTATTCCCAGTGCCCCGAGAGCATCAGAGAACGCGCAACATGAACCGCTAGCCTGAAACTCGTTACCCCGTGGCTTTCCCCCCCCTCTCCTCCCCAACCTCCCCCCGTGACCTCGCCCGCCCCCCTTCGAGTCCAGACCCGAGGCCAATCCACACGTAGTGACGAGCGGGGGGGAGGGGGCGCAAGGGGGGGGGCAATGGGGCGGGGGGCGGGGGAAGGGTCGTAAAAGTAGGAACTCGAGTTCAGATCCCCCTCCCTGCCCCCCAGGGCTGGCCGCTGAGTTGCTCGTCGCTCCTTTTCCCTCCTTCGAGCTTCGAACTCTGGGCTTCAGTGCCATCGTTGGCCTCCTCATCCTCCTCCTCGTCCGCATCCTCCTCTCCCTCCTGCTCCTCCCCCTCTTCCTCTTCCTCCTCTTCCTCCTCCTCCTCCTCCTCCTCCTCTTCCCTCCTTCCATCCTGCCCGCCTCCATCCCGTATCCAGGCGACCTTTGCCGGTCGAACGCGGACGTGAAGTTCCTCGCCACGGTGCTCGAGCGGGGGGACCAGCACGGGCTGGCGGTCTTGGCGAGCAGGTCAGGGGCAGCGTCAGGGTGGGATTTGCTCGGGGGGGGACGCGTCGGCCCCCGAAGCGCCCATTCATCACCGCTGGGGGCCCGAGATCGAAGAAGGCGAAGAAAAGGCATCAACGTACACGCTTGGCGCTCCGCGCGGATCTCTTGGATCCGCGCAGGGCCCCCCCCCCTCAGAAGTGAACCCTACCCTCCCCCAGAAGTCGTGGGGGGGGGGTGCAGGGGTGGGGCTCGCATGTGCCCCCCCCCCCCCTCCGCGACGCTGCCCCCCCCTCGGCAGGTTCCGGAACCTGCACGCCTGGGGCTGCTGGTGGCACTGCAGCAACCCCTCCGTGGTCTGCGAGGCGTGCCGCGCCACGCGGCGCCACACGCGCACGCACACGCACGCGCATGCGCATGCGCACGCACGCACGCACGCGCGCGCACGCGCGCACGCGCGCACGCACGCACGCACGCACGCACGATCGCACGCGCACGCACGCACGCACGCACGCACGCACGCACGCACGCACGCACGCACGCACGCACGCACGCACACGCACGCACTCACACACACACACACACACACACACACACACACACACACACACACGCACGCGCGCGCGCGCGCACGCGCACGCGCACGCGCACGCGCACGCGCGCGCGCACGCGCGCGCGCGCACGCGCACGCGCACGCGCACGCGCGCACACACGCACGCGCACTCGCACACGCACACGCACACGCACACGACACGCACACGCACACGCACACGCACACACACACGCACACGTACACGTACACGTACACGTACACGTACACGTACGTACACGTACACGTACACGTACACGTACACGTACGTACGCACGCACGCACGCACACACACACAGACACACACAGACACACATACACACACAGACACACACACACACACACACACACACATGCACGCACGCACGCACGCGCGCACGCACGCACGCGCGCACGCACGCGCACACGCTGGCACGCACACGCACACGCACACATCATGCCTGGGTTATACACCAGTAGTGCTCGGGTTAACCCAAAAGGGGGTGCATCGACAAGGGGGTGGTACAATAGAGTTGGTGCAATCTATTTGCGGGGTTGTAATGCATTGGGGGCGTGCTATACATCTCGGGGCGCACATGAATTGCTGTACTTTCGCGTTCGGTACACTACTTGCAGTGCAATGCAATACACATTGCCGCGAATTTATTGTACCACCCCCTTTCAGTTAGACCCTTTTTTGGGTCACCCAACGGTGCCCTCTGTTTGACGTGTGATCTCTACGCGCAGAAGGAGCCAAGAATGTTTGATCGAGGGCGAGGTCTCAGCAGCGAGCTTCAAAGAGACGCGTTTGTGGCAGAACCTGTTCACAGAGGTCTTGGCAAGGCCTGGAACAGGAAAAAACAATCCTTATCCAAGCAAAGCAACCAAATAGCAGCAAAGGTGCAGAGGCGGGACAGGGGCGAGAGCAGCTGGGACAGCGGTGACGGCACGGCCATTTGCACCTCGGTGCATTTATGCTAAGGTTTTGTGGCCGGCCAGACCGCAAATGTGGCCGGTGCGAGAGCACGGGCCTGTGTATCTTAGTCGATTGCTGGATTATTCTCTTCCACATGGTGTTTGGAACTCCGACCATTTTATTCCGCGTCGCACCCCCCCCCCGAGTCCCCAGCGCCAGAGTGGGACCCCCGCGCCGTGGCTCTCTGCCTCGTGCTCCCCCTCGCCCCCAGCGCCCCAGCGGGAGCCCCGCCCACTGACCCTCCGCCACGAACGCTCTATTCCGCGTCGCACCCCACCCCCGCCCCGCGTCCCCAGCGCCAGAATGGGACCCCCGCGCCGTGGCTCTCTGCCCCGAGCTCCCCCGCGTCCCCAGTGCCCCAGCGGGAGCCCCGCCCACTGCCCCCTCCGCCACGCTTTATTCCGCGTCGCACCCCCCCCCATCCCCCCTGCGTCGCCGGCGCCAGAGTGGGACCCCCCGCGCCGTGGCTCTATGCCCCGAGCCCCCCGCGTCCCCAGCGCCCCAGCGGGAGCCCCGCCCACTGCCCCCTCCGCCACGAACGCTTTATTCCGCGTCGCGACGCACACCACCTCCCCCACCTCCCTCCCCGCGTCCCCAGAGCCTCAGCGGGGCTCCGCCCCGTGCCCCCTCTGCCCCAACAATTTTATTCCGCGTCGCGGCGCACGCCACCTCCCCCCCTCCCCTCCCCGTCCCCAGCGCCCCAGTTGGACCCCCGCCCCGTGGCCCTCTGCCCCAAGCCCCGCCCGGTGCCCCCTCCGCCCCGACCATTTTGTTCCGCGTCGCGACTTACACCACCTCTCCCCCCTCCTCTCCGCGCCCCCAGCGCCCCAGTGGGACCTCCGCCCCGTGCCCCCTCCGCTCCGAGCATTTTATTCTGCGTCGCGATGCACGCCGCCTCCCCCCCCTCCCCACTTGGGATTTGGGCCCCGTTGCTGGGCCCCGAGGGGCGATGTCTTGCCCCCTCTTCCTCCCTCCTCCTCCTCTTCCTCCTCCTCCTCCTACTCCTCCTCCTCCTCCTCCTCCTCCTCCTCCTCCTCCTCCTCCTCCTCCTCCTCCTCCCCCTTCCTTTTTGTGCAAGAGCCATGGCACGCGTGCCACTTGCTGTTGCAAAGGATCGTGGCCGTCCTGGCCAAGGATGTAACCGGCATTGAGGCGAGAGCACGATTCCCGACTAAGCTGTGAGGAAGTCTGAGGAGAAACAGCGGCCAGACAGGGCGGTCTAGGGCTTCCGCCCCCCCCCTGTGGGACTCTTCTTGTTTTCCTTTGTAATTCTCCATCAGAACACTGAGACGGAAAACGCCCGTAGGGGAAGATCGGCCCCGCGGCGTGTCAGTGTCGGACGGAGCTAGGACGAAGATGAGTCCGTTCCAGAGCGTTCCGGGACGCTCTCGGAACGTCCCAGAACGCTCTGGGAAGGCCGCGGCGCCCGAGGCATCCTCCAGAGCCGCCGGGTCCTTGAGATTCTCGACGCATCCCCACCTGGCTTTCTCCTCGTCCTGGCTTCGTCTTATACAGTGGGGCCTTGGCGCGCCCCGCGCCAGGCCCGGCCTTGCAAGGGACCGTCCGCAAGAGACGAGCATTGCCGCCAGACTGGATTTTTAGCCGCATAGTCCAAAAAACATGAAGATAGGTCCGTTGACCTACCAACATGCTTCGTATTTGTTCGTAGACTCGTTGAGAAAATCCAGCTGGGGGGGAATCTATTATGTAGTCGATCCCCTACTCGAGTCCTGGAGACCTTTTTGGGGCTTCTTTGACCGTCTTGGGCCATCCGGAGGCCATCTCAGGCCGTCCTTTGTGCATCTTTGGCCGTCTGGGCCGCACATCTCTGCCATCTTGGGCTCCCTGGGGCCATCTTGGCCGTCTGGAAGGCCATCTTGGCCGTCTTGGCGGCCATTTTGAAGCCTTCTTGTGCGAAGAAGCCCACGGGAGATGGGTTGCCTGGATCTTTCCGGGTGGCCAGCGGGCTGGGCCGAGACCCCACTGGGATGTCTTTGGGAGCCATCTTGGCCGTTTTGTAGCTCTACTCTTAGGTCGGGCCATGCTTTCCTGCAGGCAGATGTTTGGGGAAGAAAGTAAAAGTAGCAAAACATGTTTTACATGAGTCAACAGGAATCGAAACATCATCCCGAGACTACGTGCGAACTATTCTTGGAGATCCGTCCTGTAGAAGGACATTCGGGTTGACCCAAAGGGGGAGCCAGCGCCAAGTGGGTGGTGCAATATATTTGGTGCAATCGATTTGTGGGGTTGCAATACACTTGGGGCATGCAATACATGCTGGGGCGCAAATGAATTGCTGTACTTTCGCGTGCAGTCCACTACTTGCAGTACAACGCAATACAATTCTCCGGCGCATTACATCTGCAATACACTTGCCCAAAATCTATTGCACCACCCCCTTTCAGCTGGACCCCCTTTTGTGATGGGCCCGTTTTCCACCGCCATCACCACCACAAGTTGGAGGGGGGAAGGAGGTAGAGGACGAGGAGGAGGAGGACGAAGAGGAGGAGGGGGACGAGGAGGAGGAGAAGGAGGAGGACACTCTCCCCCTCCAACTCGTGGTGGTGGTGGTGGAAGACAGGCCCATCATTTCGGGCCACCCAAAGACATGGCCGCCTGAAATCTGCTCGCAGGAGGCGCCCTTCGGCCCCCGCGCCGAGGCGCGCCGCGGGCTGCGGCCCCCGCCGCGCGAGGGGGGGCCTCTGCGCCCCCCCTCGCGCGCGAGGGGGCGCAGACGCCCTCGCGGGCCACGGTCGGCTGGACGCGTTGGGCCCTCGTCGTCGTCCTCGTCCTCGCCCTGTGTCTCACCCGCCCGTCTCACCATGTCTCACCATGAGAGCGAGCTCCATGCCTCACCTGCCGCTCGGCGCGGGGCACCGCATCGCTGCGGCACGCCGCCCCCCCCCCCCCCCCGTGAGCAGGGCCAGCCTCCTTGGCCGAACGGGGCGCGAGTCGAGCCGGTGGGCGCCTCCCAGCGCCCTCCTCCTCCTCCTCCTCCTCCTCCTCCTCCTCCTCCTCCTCCTCCTCCTCTTCCTCCTCCTCCTCCTCCTCCTCCTCCTCCTGCCCTTTGCTGTCCTACCCTTCCGTTCCTCCCCCGAACCGTTCATTTGGGCGCCCGACATGGGTACCGAACAGAAATAGGCACAATGCCCAACAACAAGTGTTGTCCAAAACCGACAGCGGCCGCCGCCGGGCAGGCGGCTGTTCGTCTTCACTGAACACCCTCCGCGGCGGCGCGGACAGCGAGTCTTGACCAACATCACAAAGGAACTGCTGCTGGGCATCGTGCCCGTTCTTCCCGCACCCGTGTCGATCCTCCCGACTTCCTCTCGCCTCCACGCGCCCGCCGTCGTGCGTCCGTCGCCGTGCGTCCGCCGTGCGCCGCCGCCGTCGCCGCAGGGCTCCACTCGGGGGGGCGTCCGCGCCGTCGCCGCCCCCGCCGTGCGGTCGTCGCCGCGGCGCCGCCGCCACGCCGCCGCCCTCGCCGCAGGGCTCCGTCGCTCGCCACAGGGGGGGGGGGGAAGCGGGCCCCGAGGGATACGGGCCCGGAGGTTTTTCGCCGCTTTCGTGCTCTCGGGGCCCTCCGCGGGCCCCGCCCCCGGATGGAGGGTTTCTCCGAAGGGCTTGGGCGGCCCGTCCTCCTCCTCCTCCTCCTCCTCCTCCTCCTCCTCCCTCCCTTCCCTCCCTCCCTCCCTCCCTCCCTCCCTCCCTCCCTCCCTCCCTCCCTCCTCTCCTCCCTCCCTCCCTCCCTCCTCCTCCTCCTCCTCCTCCTCCTCCTCCTCCTCCTCCTCCTTGTCCTCCTCCTCCTCCTCCTCCTCCTCCTCCTCCTCCTCCTCCTCCTCCTCCTCCTCTCTCCTCTCTCATCTGTCCTCCTCTCTCCTCCTCCTCCTCCTCCTCCTCCTCCTCCTCCTCCTCCTCCTCCTCCTCCTCTCCTCCTCCTCCTCCGCCTCCTCCTCCTCCTCCTCCTCCTCCTCCTCCTCCTCCTCCTCCTCATCCTCATCCTCTCGCCTCATCTCTCCTCTCTCCTCCTCTCTCCTCCTCTCTCCTCCTCTTTCCTCCTCCTGGTCCCCTCCCCCTGGTCGCCCTCCTCTCCTCGGGTCGCCTACGGTCCCGGGGGACACCGTCCACCCCCGGACTGTCAGGAAGCGGCTCGGGATGAAGATCTCGTGCTGGGGGGGAAGGCCCCCACGGTTCAGGGCCCGTTTCCCTCCGGACCCGCTGTCGCTCAGGTGACGGCCCTGCGCCTGGAGATGCTGGGGAGCGGCTTCACCTTCCAGGCCAGCTCGGTGTGGGTGGCCCATAGGTGGAACAGGTGGTCCAGCGGCCACCTCGGAGGAGGAAAACGTACCCACAGCCGCTGCATTTCCCTCGTTTCCTTTGCTGGGCCTCCTGGGAGGCCCTCGTCGCCACCGCTGGAGTCGCCTCGAAATTCTGGCCAGGGCGGACCCCGGGAGAGGTCTGGGGCGTAGCGGTACCGATGCTTTTTGGTTGTCCCACTTCCGCAGGCAGGTTCTCTCTTGATGCCGGGGCTGTGGGGTGTCACAGCATTCCACTCCGCCCTTCACTCGGGGGGCCCCGGGATGAACAGTGTTTCCCGTCCCGCCGACGGGCTCTTCTTCTTTCGTGGGGGCTTGTTGTTTCAGCAAGGTGAAGTGGCCTGAAGCGAGCAACAACGGAAGCCACCTTGAGGCCAGCTCCGCAGGCGGGTTGGCTATTGTTTGGCCCCTGGACCTTGGTAATTCGGGGCATGAAAAACAACATTCACATTACCATTTGGTCCTCGCGAATTTCCTGAATCGGCGCTGGACCCCCCTGGCGGCGCATCTGGAGATGCCCCTGGCTCCAGCTCCGATCCAAAATCCGCGCTGGCATCTGGAAGTGTGTGCTTATTGTGCTGTTCCTTCTTCCAGTAATGACCCCTTCTTCGGGGACCGGCTTCCAGGTCCACAGTCGTCCTTCCAGGCGCACGTACATTGACCATAGTAACACACGGTGGGGGCGTTGGTTTAGGAACGTGTGCGGGAGGCTTGAGACCCTGGAGGATTCCTTATTTGATGAGGGCGGCGGTCATTTCCATGGCAAGGCCTCGATTGGAGCTCCACCGGCCTCCAGACCCTGGAGTCCTTATCTAAGGGTTCCTTATCCAATTCTCTCACCGTCCGTTGCCATTTTGGCTCAAGACCATGGAGCGCCCGACGACCGCGAGTCGTCCGCGGCGTGTTGAGCGCGAGCGGTTCCGAGCTTTTGGCCAGGATTGCGCAGTTTTGTTCGAGCGTGCTCGAGGGCGGCGGCACGCGGTCGCGGCGGAGGGAAACCCGCGCGGACTGCTACTGCTGCTCCTTGGGCTCGCGGCGCTGGCGGCGGCAAGGGCGCCTACTGGTTCTGCCGCTGTGGGCAATGGTCCTTCTGCACGAGGGCCAAGTGCTTCGGGTGCCAGGCTACAACGCCGCCCTGGGCCCGCGTCTTCGGAGGAGCCGAGGCAGCGGGACCCGCCCCGCCCGAGCCAGACGCCGAAGGCTTCGTGGCGGCTGGCCAGGGCCGTTGCAGCAGCCTGGTCAGGCAGCCCAGCAGGCAACGACCGCGGGCCTGGCGGAAGCAGCAGCCCACCCAGCAGTGGCGGAAGCAACTCGCGGCAGAGCTCCAGAGTTTCGGACCTGGAGCGCCTCATCGCCCACCTGGAGGCCAGCCCCCGCGTGGATGCGGGGGCCGGCGCCTTCCTCAACGAGCATCTGACCGCGCTTCGTGGCCAGCAGGAGGAGGCGGCCGCGGAGCAAACGCGGGACGAGGAGGCGGAGCTCTCTCCCGCTGCCCGCCTTCGCCGGGCTGCCAACTCGGCCAGCAAGGCAGAGCGCAAGGCGGCTGCAGTTCGCAGGGCGCTTGAGGCTGCTGATCAGGCGGCGGCTTCGGCGGAGCAGGCGGTGCAGGCTGCTGGAGACCAGCCGGCAGAGGCAGAGGAGCACCGTGCTGAGGCGCGAGAGAGATTGGCAGAGCTGGAGTCAGCCGCGGCGGCTGCAAAGTCGGGGCAGGAGCGGATGCAGGTCTCCGAGTCTGACTTGCAGGCTGTCCGCGGGCTCTTCCTGCAGTTGCGCACGCTGCCCTCGGCGAACCTGGCAGGGAATTTCGAGGACGCCTGGCGGTCGACCATGCAGCAGCTGGAGGCAGTCGAGGAGCGCTTCGCAGACCGCGGCAGCTCGCCTGGGGCGTCCACCAGGGAGCGCTGGTGCGACAGCTCCCCGATCGACGATGACGAGGACAGCTGAGCGCGGCCAGGCAGAGCGCCGCGGCGCGGCAGCAGGCGTCTGGCCCGAGGTGACAAAGAGAGTGCAGCGGGAGTTGGTGGAGGAGGCTTCCGACCTGGGCCCTCTGGCGGCGGCGCCTCCGAGCCACGCGGCGGCGCTTGGCGGCAGCAAGCAGCAGCTTTAGCAGCGGGCCCCAGGCGCGGCCTGCCTGGGGGCTGAGGTGGGCGGAGGTGATCCCCCCCCCCCCATCGGCAGCCTGCGCGGTCACGATGAATGGGCCTTCGTGGGTCGGGACCCGCGCGGCGCTGGAGCAGCTGCGGGCGGGGCCGAGGGGGGCAGGATGACGTGATCTTGGCGCGGGAGACGCGCTTCCACGGAGGTGCGGCGGAGGCCGCGGCGCGCAGCTGGTGCAAGAGGAACGGTAGGCAGCCAGCGTTCGGCCCACGCAAGCGCACGGGGCCGTTGACGCAGGAGGTGTCCTCAGGAGTCGGTGTCTTGACAGCCGGCTTCCGCGGGGTGGCCACGATCGAGCAGGGCTGGGGTGACCTGGATCACAGGATCCTCGCTCGGCGCATTACCTTCGGCGACCTGGCGATCGTTTTCGCGAGCGTCAATCTGGGGCACTCGTCGAAGCTTTCGGGCGTCAACCGCGAGCTGCCAGGCAGGGTCCAGGAGTTTCTCAACTCGGCCAACGAGCCCTACATCGTCGCGGTCGACTGGGAGCCTCAATTCGCGGCGGCCGCGGCCCATTGGAGGAGCGCTGTTGGAGCCGCAGCGCGCGACGTTCAAAGGCAGGAAGTACGACAACTTCGTGATCTCGGTGCCGCTGCCGGCGCTCAAGCCCCAAGTCGAAGCGTCGCGACCAGCGGTGGCCCGCCCCCGCGTGCCAGCGCGGCTCTCATTTGCCAAGTTGGGCGCGTTGGCGAACGCGTGGGTGCTCAAGAGTCCGGGGAGATTTGAGTTATCGGAGGTGGTGCCCCCTGCTGCTCTGGAGCGTGCGGCAGCCCGGGCCCAGGAGGTCCGGTGGCTGGCGCCGCTGCTGGAGCCTACGGCTCCCCCGACGTGGCGGCGAGGGAGTTCTACGACGTGGCGGAGCAGCACCTCATCGCGCTCTTCGGGATCCAGGACGGCGACGCCTACTCTGGACGCTCGCAGGGGCTGCGGCGCGTACGGAAGCGCCTCGAGGACCTGCAGCGCACGGAGACCGCGCGGAAGGTCAGCCCGTTGACGAGGCTCTGGATGTCGCTTGGGCGGCTGGCGCGGCAGCTGGCGGCGGCCGCGGCGGTGCAGGCGCAGCCAGCTGGGCGCCAGGAGTGCAGGGCGAATCTGGAGGGCGCTGCGCTGGCTCTGGTGCCTAACTTCGCCCAGCAGGGCACCGACATGTTCGCGCTCGGGGACGTGCGGCTGCTGCTTGATCAAGTTAAAGCGTCCACGGGCGAGGGCGGACTCCGTCTGAGCGCCATCCAGGCGGCCGCGGAGAAGCGCGCCAAGTCGGGCGCCCAGCTCGCCCGCAGCCGTTGGAAAGACTTCGTGGACGACGCGTTGGCGGGCGGCGGCAGGGGGGCCCATGCTGTCAGCAAGCCGCCACAAGGAGAAGAGCTCTCGCCCTTGGGCCCCGACCGAGACGGCCCCGCGGCCCCGCTGGTGGGCCAGGCCGCCCTCGACCAGATACCCCTGGGATGAAGCAGCTCTGGATGGTTAGAGGAGAGGCCGAGCAGATGGGCCAGGGGGGGGTCGCGCCTGGCCCTGGCCCACCCGAGAGCTGGAAGGTGACCATGGACCTGCCTGACACCACTGGCCGCGAGGTGCTGCGCGCGGCGCAGTCATTTCCCGAGCGGACCGCGCTGGGATGGGACGGCTTCCACCCGCGCCTGCTGCTGCTGTTGGCGCGGCCTTTCGCGGACCGCGTCGGCCCGCTGCTGGCGGCGCGAGGGCGCGACCTTCACCCGTCGGGTCTTCGCCTCGCTGGTCGTCTTCCTCGCCAAGCCTGACGGCGGCAGGAGGCCCATCGGTCATATGGCGTTCTGGCTCTGCCTCCGGGGCTGCATCGCGCGTCGGTGCTGTGCTTCGTGCTGCGACAGAGCCGCCTACCTGCGCAACTTGTACTTGGGCCCGGTGCGCTCCCGAGGCTTCGAGGGGGCCTCCGTGCACTTTGACATCAGCAAGTTCTACGAGTGGATTGACCGCCACCAGCTGCTGGCGGCGTCGGAGCAGCGCGGCTTCAGCCCTGGCCTTGTCAAGGCCCCCTGCGCGGCCTGCGCGGGACCGAGGCGCGCCACGGTGGGCCGTGCCGTCAGTGAGGAGCTCCGCGCCAAAGTTTCGGCGATAGCTGGCTGCTCCTGTGCGGCCACGGTGGCTCGGCTGATGCTGTGCGACTTGCTCATCCGCGGTCGCGGCTTCCTTTAGGTGGGGCGGGTGGTCAACGTGATCGACGACGTGGCGGGGCACGGCATAGGCACGCAGCGCATCCTGGTTCAGCAAGCCAGCCAGTTCGTCAGAGGGGTGGTGGCCATGCTCCGCCGCAAGCGACTGCCCATCAACTGGAAGAAGACCAGGGTGTTGGCTTCGTCGGTGGGTGTGCACCGCGCGCTGCAGGCGACGGAAGGCTGGCCCCTCCCCACGGAAGCCTTCGTCTCTGGCCACCGCGACCTGGTCGGAGACGCGACGGCTGGGCCCCGCCGCCGCGGCGCGACTCAGGTGGCCCGCGAGTTGGCCGCGCCCAGGCAGGCGTCGCGACTTGGCCGCGTTCGGTCTTGGGCTCCGGCAGGCCAGAGCGATGAGGGCTGGCCCCACGTCGAAAGCTCTTTGAGTCCCGGCGACGAGTGAAGCGCCGCCTGCACGCATGCGGGTGCTCAGGGTCGCGGCGGCCAAGAGCGCGGGGCGCCTCGCGTCAGGGGCAGCCTTCAGTTTGCGCTGCAGTGCTCGCCTCGCGGCTGGCGGCAGGACCCCCCGGGTGATCGCGACGGCCATGGCGATGCGGGCCTTCGGCAGCGATTCCTGAGCTGGGCAGGCCTGGCCCGCGGCTGTGAAGGCCTGCC